ATCATGCCAATAGCCGCCACAGTAGATACGGCTGCATGCATGTACTCATATCCATGCAACACCGAAGCCGCTTCATATCGGTCCTTTCGCTTCATATTACGCCCCTCAAATGAAAAGATACGAGCATCAGGCACGGTCGTCCATTTTGGGCGGGCGCGGTGGGCTTCCGGGTCGGTATGTTGCAGCTTGATAGGACGTTATGGAATCCTTCCTTGGGAAAGGTTCGACGCAGCGCCTGCTCAAGGGCGCCTAATTCTGCCCTGTTTGTTAATCTTATACGTGTTGGGGGGAGGGGTGTATCGTGCCACTTGCATTTAACGCTTGCTTCCTTTTCAGAACATCGGATTGATTTTTTTTTGAGTGATCCCAAGGGGGATTCAGTTAGACTATCGGAGTTTGTAGGAGGCGAAATCTCAAATTTTGATGGAAAAAGTCAATTCATTGGCACAAGTGTTCAAAGGTGTGCGTGACGGAAGGACCACGCGGCGTTGCGCGCGACGATTTCCCATTGTCGCGAAATTGACATCGTGACAGTGACATTAGCTGCTATTTTTGCTCAAGCGTTGTAATGCCAAATAAGTTCAGGGATCGGCTAATAAGCAAAAGTAGCTCGCAAGCAGAATCTGTGCGGGTATCTTCGCACTATAATTGCTATGTAATAACCGCGTTCGCGACTTCGCGTGTCCTTGAAGAAAGTCTCCCGTGTTCATCGTGCTCAAACGCCATCGAGGATTAAGAGTCAAACGGGATTCTAGTCGGAAAAATGACGGAATAAGGGGTAAAAATCTCAAGAGTCTTCATTTCTCAACCTAAAGAAGGACCTCACAATATATAGTGTGCAAAAACTCTGTCTGTGACCATTTTCATGTCATACGTTCCTATATATGTTTCATTTATTTCTTTTATTTTATTGCTTATGTTGGCTTCCATGTTTGAGTCTTATATCTTTGTTTCTTTTTTTAGTTTGGTTTCTTTTGTTTTGTTTTAACACTAACATCTTGCGGAATACTACATCTTACCTAATACTAAGTTCTCATTAAGGATGGGAATCTTCAGTTGGTATTTTGCCATTTAACACTGAGTACGTACACCTGGGGTGGCTGTCAGTCATAGAAGCTAGCTTGTGAGGAACTTAATTTGGGCGGGTCGGAAACTGAACTGTTAGGGATAGGGAATACAGTCCTCATCATTGCAGACCGGTGGGCGCGGCTGCGTGTGACTCGGCTGTGACGCGGCAGCGATGACAGTCGCGTCACAGCCGAGTCACACGCGGCGCGGCTCACCCGCCCCACCGGTCTGCAATGATGAGCACCATACCTAACATCCGAAAGTTCAGTTTCTGATTCCATGCTTGGTTCTCATCCAGGAGTGACGTTTTCCCTAGCGTCATCCGCCACTGAAGTTATCACCGAGTTTATGGTTATTTACCCAAGGCAGAGGTCCCCTGCAGGTGGTCAAGAGCTAGCTCTTTCGTCGATTTCTTTTATTTTTTAGCAAAATTCCTACTGGAGAGTTCCCTATCTATCCTGTCGATTGCCTGTTCCTTCAGTTTAGAATTAGGTAAGATCG